AAGTCTTTAATCATTTTGAGTTTATTTTTGTGCATTGTATAAGTTGGTGGTGTAGTTTCATTTTTTGGCATGTGTCTGTCCAATTTTCCCACCACCATTTATTGAAGAGACTATCTTGGCTCCATTGTGTGTTCTTGCCTCCTTTGTCGAATATTAATTGAGCATATTGGTTCGGGTCAATTTCTGGGCTCTCTATTCTATTCCATTGATCTATATGCCTATTCTTGTGCCAGTACCAGGCAGTTTTGAGAAGAGCTATATCTATCTCATTGACTGATGTCATCTATATCAAACACTTGGCACAGTGCCTTGCACATAGTCAATAACTATTAACTATGATTATTAGTTATTATGATTGTAAATTAGCTCCTCTACACACACACACACACACACACACACACACACACACACACACCCTCCCTCCTCCTGTGGACCTATAGGTTTTTTCTCTTTCTAGACCCAATGAAAAATGTAACATTGTCTTTTAGCATTTTCTCTGAGCCTGAATTAGATTTTTTTAGAGTTTTTAATACTCTGATACAGTAACTTCCTCATTTCATCCCTTTCTTACTCCTGCCCTCTTTGCATAGTACATACTAGACTGGGACTCAGAATGTCAAGGGTGTCCGTGAACAGATCACCATGGAGAACCTGATCATCCTTGTACAAGTACATATTAGTAGAACCAGCACATACGCATGCAAGCCTGTTTCCTCCTCTGGAGAAGACTGAGCTGGGCTGTAGTATATTTGACTGGTGTTTATTTTCATCGTGCAGAATCTATTATATTGATATATCCTTTCAGATTAATGGAACATTCCAAGTAAACATTCCACCAGTTTTGCTTGGGTATACTTGGAGTAAGACTTCTACATCTCCTAAAGAAGATCATAATGGGCAGAATTTAAAAGAATGTACCTTTTTAAATATTTTTGCTACCATTGAACCTCAAATATCATATGTCACCTGTAATCCAGAACTAGACAAGGTATGTTTTACTTTGAATTATTTTTATATATACTATCAAAGAAGTGTAAAGTATTTTAAAAACCAATAACAATAATTTCAAAGCTAGCAAAAAAACAAATATTGGTTCTTAATATTTCCCTGTGGGAACAATATGTATGGTACAATATTGAAATATTTTAAACTTGATTTTAGTTTTCAGATCAAGTAGATGTTTTGGAGAGAGCACACATTTTTGCAAAAAATTGTAAGGCAGTATTTCCCAACCGAAGAATCACAACAACTGTTTTTAATCATGATGGGATACAAATCTTAGTAACAAGATATATCAAGGCATTAAATCCACCTCAACAACTCCTGGATATATTTCTTCGTGATTCCAGTGCAACACTTGTAAGTTATGTTTATTTTAGTCGTTTTATTAAGATGTAAATCACGTACCATATAATTAACCCATCTAAAGTGTTCAATTCAATGATTTTTAGTATCTTCCCAGAATTGTGCAACCATCTCCAGAGTAAATTTTAGGCATTTTTATCACTCCAAATTTATATTTTTAAACTTGTTTATTTTTTAATATTAATTTTTAGGATAAGTTTGTTACTAAAATTGTTTTGCCTTCAAAGACAGTTTCAGCCCAGCCATTATGGTTCAGTGGTTGAGCATCGACCTATGAACCAGGAGTCAATTCCTGGTCAGGGCACATGTCCGGGTTGCAGGCTCGATTCCCAGTGTGCAGTGTGTAGGAGGCAGCCAATTAATGATTCTCTCACATCATTGATGTTCCTCTCTCTCTCTCTCCCTTTCTTTCTGAAATCAATAAAAATGTATGTAAAAAAAGAACAACACAAAAACCCCAAAGATAGCTCATGAGAGAAAAACCATCTATGTTGCAATGTGTCCTCCTGAGCCCCAGATGAAAGACCTCTCTGCCCCCCTTTATTTCTGCCCACTTGGACTAGAGGGGCACTGTTGCTACACCACTTCACGTGACCATACTAGTTTCACAACTTTCCTATCAAACTTGGAAAAATGTCACAAAAATTTCTTTGACTTTGAGGCAAAATAAAAAGTTATGTACCAAAAGGGATTGTGTTCTTCTAAGGATTGCTTCTCATTGTTTGTGGGAATGAAGAAAACTATATTATTCTATATAAACTGTGAACATAACACTTTCCACCCCACCCCCTTGTGACTTATGCCCATCTGTTTACCAGCTGACAAAAGAGAAATATATTCAACATTTAATTTTATATAAAATGAAGATTTATTCATTATAGATGTGAAAGAGGATATAGCTTCTTCCACTTTGAGAAAGGAAAATAAGAAGCCAGAAGTATAAGTCTCCCTTTTAAGAAAAAAGTAAGCTTTGATTAAAAGGCATGTATGAAAAATCATACCTTTTGTTTATTGTGGTTGGATTGAGTCAATTGGCTCTCCGCAGAATATTTATTTGACCAGTATAAAACTCCCTTAGCTAGACTCTGTAAGCTAAAATAAAATTTCTAATTTAGGTTGCCTTTTATTACACTCTGCTTTTCCATCCTGAGTTTCTTCCTTCCTATGTTTCCTGACACCCAGAGTCCAAAGAGTGCTCTTAGATATACTGCAAAGACAATATTTGTGTGTGCTTTTATTTATTTATTTTTGTTAATCCTTACTCAAGGATATTTTTTCCATGGATTTTTAGGAGGATGGGAGGGGTAGAGACAGAGAGAAACATCGATGTGAGAGAGACACATTGATTGGTCGCCTCTCCTGCATGTGCCCCTTCCAGGGCCGGGGATGGAGCCTGCAACCCAGGTATGTGCACTTGACTGGAATCAAACCAGAACCCTTCAGTCCTTGGGGCCAACGCTCTAACCAAAGAAAGAGCACTGCTAGGGCATATGTGTATATTTTTTAAAATATGTAAATCCTAGCTCCTTTGCTTGTCACAGACTATGAACCATTAGGGTATAGGAGGTGATAATAGATCATAAATGGTGGCTATTGTAAATTAAAGAAAATGTTAGTGAATTTTCTCTGTTAACTCATTATTTATTTGTATCTTTTTCTCTTCTACGACTTTAAAAGACTGAATCCTTGTCTCTCTAGTCCGGGGGGCCGGGGCGGGGGGAGATAATTAACAGTATAATTTCTGTTGCTTGAGGAAGCAGACTATACCAATATCTTCCTGCTACAGCAGCTCATAACAGCTTATATTAATTAAAATAATTCTGATTTTGAACCTGAAAGCAAATCAAACTTATGCTATTCTTCAGCATATTTTTTCAATTTTAACAGTTATATTCTAAAGTATATATGTAATGTGTCATGTTTGAAATTGTAAGAATTTATTACAGTGAAATGCAATGGTTAACAGGCACACTCTGGAGTCAGGCCAATTTGGGCTTATTCCTAGAGACCCCACATATAATGTTAGCTGTGTGACTCTGAGCAAGTTACCCTAGCCCAGCCGTGGGCAAACTATGGCCTGCAGGCCGGATCCGGCCCGTTTGAAATGAATAAAACTAAAAAAAAAAAAGACCATACCCTTTTATGTAATGATGTTTACTTTGAATTTATATTAGCTCACACAAACACTCCATCCATGCTTTTGTTCCGGCCCTCCGGTCCAGTTTAAGAACCCATTGTGGCCCTCGAGTCAAAACGTTTGCCCACCCCTGCCCTAGCCTCTTCTGTAAAACAAAAATAATAATAGTATTTATTTCATAAAATACACTAAATGTAATGATAATGCATAGAAAGCATTATGGTGGGCATACAGTATGCACTCAGTAAATATTATTTAATATTATTCTAGGACCTCATTGCTCATTTTGTATCTTTGATTCCTCTTATGCCTGACCTGGATGAAAATGATGGTTTTGATATATGGATGACATCAGAGGTAACAAATGACATTTTATAATTAAAATTTATAGTATTCCTTATTTGTTTTTCCTCTTAAAGAAACCTGTTTATTATATGTAGTATTTTGCCTTATGAAATTTGAAATCATTTGATAATTTAATAAATAATTTTCAGTTCTAGTAACAACTTACAGAAATAATTCTGAAAAACCAAAAATCTTACTCAGTGTTACAAGTGGTAGCTCATGAATATTTTGATTGAATTGAAATTTCTGGAGTACAATATTATGACAGTCTCAAGAGATAAATATGGCTTGTCACTATGGATCCTGATGTCTAGGGCAAATGCCACTACTTGCCAGGTTTCCGAGTCTCCCCACATCTGAATGAAGAGCTTGTATAGCAATGCTGTTTCTTAGCACCTGGATTAAAGTTCTCCTTAGATTGCTCGCCAACTAAAATACAAGCGCCATGCAATTTTGGGGGTGTATTTATACTAAAATATTTGTTTATCTGAAATTCAAATTTAGAGTTGGGCTTTCTATTTTCCCCTCAAAATCTGGCAACCTTAGAGCACTTCTTCTATTCCATCTTACATAATATTTAGTTGCTTTTAGATTGACCCAACATCCATACTCTGTACATATACATCCCAAGTTAATCTCCTTGAGTTAACAAGAAGACTTTATTCTTATTTATTTTTATATTTATCATTTATACACTGCTTTAAATTTCACAAGCATTCCGTAAATATTTTAAGTGGAAAATATTAGTACAATGGGAGCCTAAGAGAGAGGCACTTTCCATCTGGAACTGATAGTCCTAGAGCATACCTAGAATGTTTTAGGGGCTAGATTTGAGCTGAATTTGATTTAGGGGGCACAGGGTTAACTTCATAGGTAGGTTACTCTGTCTTTGGCTTAGTGATAACCAGGGAGACACAAGCATGTGGTCCTAGTGACTCAGTGATTCCAACCTGGTAGAACTCAAAGAGGTGTCATTAACTCGACTCTCCTGAGACTCTTTGAACTAATCAGAATGTGTTCAGGGATATTATGATCCTGAAGAACATTGAAAGAGAGCCTCTAATGTAACTAAAAATAACTATTCAAGCAAATACTACCAAGTACTCCTTGCCCCTATGTTCCAAGTTAACGTTCTCTCCTCCTAATGCCCATTGTGGCCCTGGCAAACTGCGGCTCGCGAGCCACATGCACATGGGCCACAAAATTTCAATCGCATTTTATGTGCGCGCCCGCACGTGGTATTTTGTGGAAGAGCCACACTCAAGGGGCAAAGAGCCGCATGTGGCTCGAGAGCTGCAGTTTGCCGACCAGGGCCCTAGTGTTTTATCAGGCAAATGGTGCCGGAACTTTCAGCTTTGCAGTTGTCCTAGTATTAATTACGTTACTTAGCTTTCTCTCCCTCACTTTTTTGTTGTTGTTCTTGTTACTTTTGTTTTGCCTTAGCGCTGCATCAGTTTGGCTATTGGGAATAAGGAGGAGCATGCCATACTTCTCTGTAATTTCTTTTTGTACTTCGGAAAGAAAGCTTTGGTCCTCCTAGGAACCTCAATTTTAGAAGTGAGTGCTGGAGTTAATATTTAAATAGTGTAAGTAAAAAGAATTAGCTATCAGCTGCAAGTTTAAAAGACTGCAGCCCCAGTTTTTCATCTTTTCACAAGCTAATTAAGGGATTTTGTGGGCAAGCAATTATTTAAGAGGATAACGTTGGTTCATCAAAAGTTATACAGTGTAAAGGATGACTTCCTTTTGTTTTTCTCCTCTAATAATGGTACTACTTCATGGGGTTACTAGAAATATGAAATCACATAGTAAATATATAGCATTGGGAGAGCACTTACTCATGGTGAGTGCTTAGTAGCGGTGATGGTGGTGATGTAGCAGTAGTTGTAGTGGTTGTTAACCACTGTCATCACCATTATCTTCAGATGTTTCTAATATTATATTTTAAGATCCTTAAGAAATACATCTCCCTATTCTCCATTGCTCAGTTTTTACTTGTACAAATAGACCAGAAATTCATGTTCATATCTGAAATTTTAACAACTTAATTATATACGGTATTCATACCTCCAGAAAGCTGTCTTCATTCTAACTGTTTCTACTTCAAGCTGAATATATTCATCAGTGTCAAAATTTCCAGTCTTGTTTTATGGTTGTTGGTTTTGTTTTGTTTTTTCATGATCATATAGTTCTCTATATTTCCTTGACAGCTTGTTTCTGTGTCACGATTGTGTTAGCTAAAAGCCTATTGGTAATTTCCCCATATGTTCCTGTTGTTGCTCTAAGTGCCGCTAGATGGCAACAAACAATAAACAGTATTTCAACCAACGATTGCTTTTAGACCTGAGTCAATATCCTGGGTGGCACCTCTCAGCTCTGTGGTTGAGGTGAAGCCTCCTCTTCACTGTAAAGGAGACGCACACTGTCATAAAGAACAAGAGCTTTGAAGTCAGGGAAACAAGGCTATACAGCGCAGTGTTAAGAGTATGGGTTTGGGGGGCTGGTCAGAGAGGGTTTTAAAACCCAGTAATGCCATTTACTAAGTGTGAGATCTCATCCTTTGCTACTTTCTGAGGTTCAGTTATCTCTTTCCAAAACAGGAATAATACCACTACTGTTCCCCTAGACAAGCTCCTTAACCTCTGATTTTTTTATCTGAAAAATAGTATAATCATCATCCCTACCTCACAGAATTTGGAGTGAATCAAAACAAGAAAATTAGTGTTAATGCTGAGTAGATTATTTGATGCACACAAATACTCAATAAATGGCAAATAGTCATTATTATTACCTGAAATTTTTATTCTTTGCTAAGAAATATTGTCACTTCAAAAGGTATGTGCAGAGAAATATCGTAACATAATGACTTTTATTCTTCAAATGGTTTCCTGATCTTGTTCTCAAAATTAATTTAGTGGCTTTTTTACTTCACTTGGCTTTTTGAGAGCCTTAGGCCAGTTTCTATTCCCTAACTCTGCTTGGTGTTCACCCCTAGTCTCCTAAGTATATTCTACTCAAAGCAGGGCTGGTTCATATAGCACCATCGTGTGAATTAGACAACAGTGTCCCAACCCCCATATACTTTCGGACCAGCTGTTGGGAAATCGCTGTGAGGGAACTCCTGCAGGACCATACAGGGCAGCACTGGCTCAGAAGTCCTGTCATTTGCATCCTCATGCCAGCCTGGGCCTAAGGATTTTTGGAGCTCTGGCTTCTTTCCTTTCCAAAAAATTGTAAAAGCCCTGGAAAACGCTTTCAGAAATCAACAAGGTCACATGCTTACATAGTAATTTTCACATTAAAAAGTATGTTAATTACTCAACCAAATGACTTTACCTTCTTTTCCTCATACAGGGGCGTGTAGCTTATGTATTAACTCATGAAACTGATGAATATTTGCTTTGGAATCCATTAACTGGTCAATGTCATAGGCAGTTTGACCCATTTTGTCCTTTACAAAGTGTAGACTGTTTGTTTGATGATGGAAATGTAAGTAATGGGGAGAAATCTTACTCTGAGCTATCTCCTTGAGTCAAATCAGTGATCCTCCACCCTATCCATTGGAATCATGTGAAGAACTTTGAAAATATATAAAAGTTTAATTAGAATCCCTGGGTTGTGGGGCCAAGAAAATATTTTATCCCTAAAGCTTCCACCCTATAATTCTGTAGTGCCTCCAGTGTTGAGAACCAGTGAGCAGTCTAATGCTCATGTAAGCCTGGCATGTCTTTAACTTCTACCTCAGAATCTCCCTTGGCTTCTGCCACTTCATTGGGTAGCAGGGCTGTAAAATTTTGCTTCACCTAACCAGCCATGGGCTTTGGGCTCCCAGGGGTCTGTGCTGATTTTATGTTAATGTTTTAATAGGTCTGGTTTAATATTCAACAAAATAGTACACCAATGGCTGTATATTTTGACTATTCAAAGGAAAGTTTCTGGAAACAGCTGCTGCCAAAAAATTTGCAAGGGACACAAATACAAAGCATACAGGTAAACATATTTTTCCAGGTGTGTCAGTATCAAAGTTACCCTTGGTTCTAATCTTTACTAGTTGTGACGCTCTTGTTATGTTTATATAGCTGATTGTTTATTGACTCATTTGGCAATATTAATAAAATCTAGTTTTCCCTGCCATCCATCTTGAAAAAATGGGAAGGAAAGTGGCAGACTCACTGTCTAAGCCTTGGAGGCAGACCAAAGCACAGACCTAAGTTCAGGAACTGACTCAATCACCAAATGGGTCAGCCAGTACACCTGTGACATACCCAGTGTCCCTTTATACTCAGTATCCCAAAGTCCATCTCTACAGCTGTTTGAGGGTTGAGGGTCATGGTATGGCAGGCTGCAGGCAAGTGAAAAATCCAAAAACTACGAGTTATGAGCCCAGGGGGAGAGAGGGAGATGAGATAAAGAGCAATAGGCAGAAGACATTTTATAGAAGCAGAAACTTGAATGCTCTACCTTGCCCATAACCAAGGAAATACAATTTAAAACATGCATAAATTTGACAAAAATATTTTTAAGTGTGACCATACCAAGTGCTGGCAATGGGGCAGAGAAGTGGTGCGAGCATACATTACCCCAAGCAGTTTAGAAAGCATTATGATATCTGTAAAGTTGAAGATGCTCAACCCTTGATTGCTCCAATTCAACTTCTAAATATATACCCTATAGGAACTTATCAGGGAGACAAGCACAACAGTGTTCATTACAGAATTGCTTGAAATAGAAAAAAAGGAAACAATTCATCAACTAGAAAATCACTATATGAGTTGTGAAGTATTCATACTATGAAAACTTCTGTACAGCAGGAAAAGAATGTATGAACCAATTTACAATAGTTCCCAACTTGACCGTACATTCATTGCATCAGGATCTCCGAGGGAGGGTAGAACCCGCACATCAGTATTATGTAAAGCTCCCAGGTGATTCCAGTGTGCAACCAGAACCACTGACTCAGAGCCATGTACATCATGAATGAATATTAAAGATGTAATATTAAGCAAAATAGAGAAGATGTCAAAGGACACATACAATACAAAGCCATTTACCTGAAGTTTGAAAATTGTTATTTATGTATATATATGTAGTAGTAGTATAAAAGCATTTTTATGAAAGATAAACACCAAATTTAATTTAAAGGTTACTTTTGGGGAAATAAGAAAGGAATGAAATCAAAGAGAGGTACACAGAGTACTTCAAGTTTATCTGTACTGTTTTACCTCTTTTTGAAAAATCTAAATCAAATGAGGGAATGCAAAAGATTATATAAAACTAGGTTGTAGGTATGTTGTGTGGATGTAGATTACATTAGTCTCTGTGCTTGTCTGTATATTTGAGACAGTTTACAATATCAGAAAGAATGCATGGTCGTTTGGGGGAAAAGATCAAATAGTACCAAAGCATACAAAGTGATGAGTTTTACCCGAGCTGGTTTGGCTCAGTGAATAAAACTCAGCCTGTGCATCGAAGGGCTCTGGGTTTAATTCCAGTCAAGGGCACGTACCTTGGTTGCAGGCTCCTCCCTGTCCTAGGCCCTAGCCAGCCATGGGCAAACTACGGCCCGCGGGCCGGATGCGGCCCGTTTGAAATGAATAAAACTATTGAAAAAAAAGACCGTACCCTTTTATGTAATGATGTTTACTTTGAATTGATATTAGTTCACACAAACACTCCATCCATGCTTTTGTTCCGGCCCTCCAGTCCGTTTAAGAACCCATTGTGGCCCTTGAGTCAAAAAGTTTGCCCACCCCTGCACCTAGGCCCTGGTTGGAGGCGTGCAGGAGGCAACCTATTGATGTGTTTCTCTCACATCAATATTTCTCTCTGTCTTTCCCTCTCTCTTCCACTCTCTCTAAAAATCAACGGAAAAATACTCTCGAGTGAAGATTAAAAAACAAATTAAAAAAAGAGAGACGAATTTCTCTCCTTTTCCACATCTTTTTCCCATGTGCATCCTTCTAAACATTCTCCATGCAGCTACAAGCATATATTTATATGCTTTATATATGTATATATGTATAAATACACATATATTTATATATTTCCCGTTTATAAAGTTATTTTAAAGAGGGGAAATGTGCTTATCTCTCTTGAGAAAACCACATTTACAGCGTCCACAGGCCATATCTTGCTTTTCCCATCGCAAGGCTGTGAGTGAGGCATTATTGTCTTCTAGGAGAGAATGATATATTTAGAGATGAGGTGGTTTTTTGTTTGTTTACTATTTATCGTTCCATTATTCATTCAGGTAATATTTATTGAATGCCTGCTATGAACCAGCGTATGTTAGGTATGGCTACCACAGGGAGAAATGTCTCTTGGGACGCGTGTTCTAGAGAAAGAAACAGCAGGAAACGAGCACTTTCGGTGCAGAGTGATAAGTGCTATCACAGAAATGTGGGTTGGAAGGCATATAGCAGGGGGCCTGATGGGAAGGAGAGGTGCAGGGGCTTCCTAGGGGGCGGGGGCGGGGCGGGGGTGATGATCAGCACAGTGAGGAAGGGGGAGCAGGAGCTGGCCTAGAACCGTCAGGGAAGAGAATGGTCCCCGCAGAGAGCAGGAACAGCAGGCATGAAGAGGTGCAGTAGCTAGGCGCTGTCAGTCAGGGAGCTGAAAGGCCAGCTTGGCTGCTGCCAGGGAGCGAGCAGAGAGGAGCTCTGGGGTGAGCGGAGTCCTGGTAGGGATTTGGGCCTTTATCCTCAGGGCAATCAGAAACTAACATTACCAAGGCAAGGGCTGCCATAATCATGTGCTTTTAAAAGCCACTCTGCCTCAGGGAGGAATCTAAACCTTTTGCCAAGTTGAATCGATAAATGTAAAACTCATAGTTGCCTAAATCTCTACTGATTTCTTGCCCTTGATCTTCTGCCTTACCACACATCACAATACTCCTATCTATAGTGAACACTATGTTTATTATCACAATAGAGAACACAAATTTGAGTGTGCATAATGAGAATGTGGGGGTTGAGAGATGAGTTAACAAGAAAGTCTTCTTGAAGTTTTAACGATGTGAATTCACTGAAAGAAAGGGGTCTTTGCCAGAAAAAGAAAGTGGATTAACACCCATAAATGTGTCAAGTCAATGTAACCCAGGCCTCTTCTCAGGCCTGAAGGGGACCTAACTAATCCATAAATTGCCTGGATTGGGGGTTGGGAAAGAGGGAGGGAGGGGGTGGGGAGAGGGACATGGGTTGGAGGGGACATGGTTGGTGACAGCAATCAGGGAATTCAGGCCCTGTCCTGTCTGGAATAGTTGGTGGCCCCTGCAAGGTGATGCTGGATTTCATACTTCTCTCCCATCTCCTGCCATGTTCCTCCCTGTTTCCTCATTTAGTGGTTCTCCAACCATGGCAGGCACCAGAACCACTGGAGGGCTTGTTGAAACACGAATTGCTGGGCCTTAGCCTCAGAGTTTCTGATTCAGGGGGTCTGAGGTGGGGGCAGAGAATCGGAATCTCTAATTCCGATCATCACCTGACAGACTGAGCCTTCTCAAATCACTCCTGAAATTTTCTAGGACCTAGAGGCCTAACAAGTGTTGCCCCCTTTTTAAATCACAACCTTCATTCCACTCATGAGGGAGAAACATCTGTTCCTGTCTCTCCATCTGCCTCCATGCCTCAGCTCAGAAATACCCAAAGTAAAAACTGTGAATTCAGCACTTTCCTCTAATTCCTGTGAGCCCTGCAGGGAGGGGAGAGCTGGGTTTAGGATGGGGGTCGGGTACACTTGAGAAATCCTGCCCTCCTCCCTGCAAATCCTACTGTCGGGGGAAACATGGTGGAGCATTGCTCTCTGCTATAGGTGGGGCGCCTGAGGAAAGGTTTGGAAACGGGAGATTGAAATGGACTCTGTGTGTGTGTGTGTGTGTGTGTGCTCTTGCCAGGTGAAAGAAGCAAATACACAAAGAATAAAGATGATAAACCATGTTAAAGGACTGATAATAATATCTGATATTTATTGAGCAATGTGTGCCAGGTTTTACATGTATTACTTTATTTTAAAATTGTCACAAACCCCCAGAGAAGTAGGAACTATTATTGTCCCTCTTTTAAAGAAGAGGGTCCTAATATGAGGTGACAGGAGAAGATTTGACTTTGGGTGGTGGCCACACAGTACTATATACAGATTTGTAACATAGAAATCCACACATGAACTCTATATGTTTATATTGACCATATCACCCCAATCAATTTAATAAATAATAAATTTTAAAGTGATTTTAAATAAAATTTTAAAAAAGACATGGTGACTGAAACTCAGACAGCTTAAGTAACTTCACCAAGGTCACAGTTAATAACTGGAAGATACCTGTGCAGCTGCCAAAGATTTTCAGTAATAATCATGCCAAATGCTTGTTGGAATAAATGAATGGGGGCAGCAGATTTGTCTTACCCATGAATAACCTATTTTGTGAATCCATCTCCCCTCCTATGTTCTGGTGAAGTAGTTACAAAATCAAAGAAAACACTGTGATCTATGTTACCTTTGTGCCTCTGTGATTCTGGCTTTTCAACACATGAGAGAGGTTTGGGTTCCCTGTCCTTATAGTTAGCACTACAGATGTGACTGTGATGGAAAATTGGTCTCCCTAGAATCTTCTCTAACTTTCAGTTGTCTTTATTTCAGCCTGAAGAAATCATTTATTCTGATACTAACAAAACCATGGTAGATGATCTGAAGAACAGGTATGTTCTGTAAAATTACATTGGGATTACCAGGTTTTCTCCCTAATCTCTCATTCAGCCACCTTTTTTTAAAAAAAATTTTTTATTAGAGTTTATTTGAGCCAAACTAACAACATATGTTGAATAGTAAGACCTTAAATACTCCCTCAGCCACCTTTTAAAAAAATATATTTTTTTATTGATTTCAGAGAGGAAGGGAAGAGAGAGGGAGAGAGAGTGATAGAAACACCAATGATGAGATGTTTGGCTGCCTCCTACATGCCTCCCACTGGGGACCAAGCCTGCAACCCAGTATATGCCCTGATCAGCAATCAAACTGTGACTTCCTGTTTCATAGGTTGGTGCTCAACCACTGAGCCACACCATCCGGGCTCATTCAGCCACCTTATAGTCTTCTTGTTACTGGTCCATAGATCAAATGCTGAACACTTCAAAAAGCCAAAACTAAAATTGTCAGAGTTTGGAGTAAAGAAAGGTTTATTGATTGAGAGAGAAGATGCCAACCGAGAAGATGGGAACCCTAGTAGTTTCTCAAATCCATTTTAAGAAAGTACAGAGTTCAGGCTTCTTTTATGTCAAAAGAAGGGGAAATGGGAGAGGCAAGAGGTGGTTGACAACCAACTGCAGACATCTGGGTACCAGCAGGAGTCTGAGGAAGACTAAAAAATGTCTAAATCTCTTTGTTCCCAGACTATTGACCCCAGCTGATGAATCTGGTCTTGAGGCTCCTGCAAATGTTTAATAAACAATCATTATTTTTGTACACATTTCCCCTATCTCTACTGGAGAGGCACCTCTGGCAAGGGGCTGTTTTTGTAAAAACTCAAGCTGCAAGCAGAATTCCTCTCATGATTAGCATGTCTATATGCAAGAACACGGCAGGCTTGAACACGATGGAGTCAGAGAAGTTTAGCATTTCACTCCGTTACACTCTAAACCAGTCTCTCCAAATACCGATTAGATTTAGCCACAGAAGCATGAAATGGAGATTGTAATAATTATTTCCATTGAGTCAACTCCTCTGCCATCCCAGATGCTCCTTGAAATGACAGGCAAAGTTAAAAATGGTTGCCTCTGATAAATACTGTAGGCTACTGTTGGGAAGTTCTCAACACAGACACCTGTTGAGCCTGTAGTAATAATGCTCTAGCTCAGCAGTCCTCAGCCTGTGGGTCGCGACCCCTTTGGCGGTTCAACGACCCTTTCACAGGGGTCACCTAAGACCATCCTGCATATCAGATATTTACATTACGATTCATAACAGTAGCAACATTACAGTTATGAAGTAGCAACGAAAATAATTTTATGGGTGGGTCACAACATGAGGAACTGTATTTAAAGGGCCAGAAGGTTGAGAACCACTGCCTAGCTAATACTTCTTGAAAGGACATGACGGTACATGGCCCACAACTTGGTAAAAATATCCAAAGTGGGTGGTAGAAACATCAGTATCGTCTCTCCTAGACTCTTGCCCTTACACACACACACACACACACACGCACACACACACACCCTAAGTTGTTGTTCAGTCAAGCCCAGAGGGCCACAATCTTTGCAGCAGGCCTTTCCTACTCCAGCTGTGTCAGAAGCTTCTAGATCTGACTGTCTCCAGTGACTCATGCTGACATAGCAGGCTGGCATGTTATCCACTGCCAACTAATCAAAACAGAACATGACACAAACCATTTTGACACTCTCTTCTTTTACTACCACCGCATATCCCCCCCTTCTTTTCTAATTCTTTTTTTTTTCTTTCTTTTCTAATTCTTAACAAAAAAAAAAAAGGAAGAAATGCAATTGGGAAATGGTTTCCAACTTCTGGTTTTCATCAGAATTGCGTCCTGAACTATTTAAATATATAGATGTCAGGGTCCCAGACCAGACCTATTGAATCCATATCTGGAGGTGAAACATTTTGATAAAGTTCTACAGGTGATTCTGATGCCTAGCCACTAATGAGTTAGTAAACTCAAAACTACTTAGTTACACTGAAGACTCAGCCAAGAGGGGACTCCCAGCAGCTTCTTCTGTAGCATACACTGGTTCTACACAGAGGACAGGCTTCCCAGGAGGGCCACATCAATCAGCCCACACTGTACCCCACCTCTCTCCCTTCCTGGAACAGTTCATCACCAGGCATTGTTTTGGGGGCGGGGTATACAGGCAAAAATCCCCACCCTTATGGAGTGTACATTGTTTTGGGGAAACTGATCATCATACTTACCAATCCAGTGACTCATTTCCTCCCAACTCTGCTTACTCAATTAACCGATCTAAGAAACATATCCTGCTAACATTGACCCAGACCAGATGTCTGAATTTTTGTAAAGGCAGTCTCTTGGAAACCCACTGTCTTATGTCAAAGGAGGGTCTTGGAGAGTAAGAATGTCAATCCAGTAGTCAGGTAGTCAAATCATACCCGGCAGGTAGCAGCCTACACGTAGGTAACTGGAAAAGAGATGTGCCTTTGACATCTTACTGCTGGATACCCCAGGAAGCTTCTTGCCTTCCCAAGCCAAGCAAGAGCCTGCTTCTTCCAGACTTGAATAATGTGAATGATGCAGATATTCCTAGCCATAGAGGTCTGGTTTCCTCCTAAATAAAAAAATATATATCATCCTCATGCTTAAGTAAAAGTTTAACGTGACAAAACTCTTCTCACATTTGTCATAAATATAATCATTGTAGGATTGAAAGGACTCTAAAATGTAAAATTATGGAATGGCGACCTAAGCAGCCAACACGTTGGAATCGACAATGTACTTCTATTTTGCGACACATTCTTCCTAAGCTAGAACTTGGCACTGAAAGATTTGTCTCCTCTGAAGAAGAGAGTGAATTTGAAAGACTATTACAATTTTATTGGGTTTGTATATGATGTAATACACTAATGTCATTTGTTTTATCTATGTTGTTAATTGCCAGGTAATAGTAATCTTAAATATCTCTGAAGTGCCTATCTTGATCCTAGATGATAGATGCTATGTCCTTAAAATGCATTTATTTATAGACCAAGAAATGTAAAATATAGTGAACAGCTCTTACTATGGCCACATTGCATGACGTTTCCTTGAATCAGTCTTATGTTGTATGATATGTAAACCACAAACTTTGGAAATGGATGCCCAAAAGAAAACCACCTGCAACTGAGAAACAAAAAAAATGGTCTCTAGATGGTAATAATAGAATGGATTTCCTGACCTTGGTTCTGGGCAAGAGGACTCCAAGCAAGCTTTAATATTTTCTATATTCAAATTACTCTCAAATTTATACACACATCCTCAGCTTCTCTCCTGACTTCTCTTATATATTTGCCAACACATTTGACATCATCCTAGATGATAAAAAGCCATCTAAAACTCATCAAGTCCATAACCAAACATGGTGGGCACTTGATATATATTATTAGAATCCTCCCTTTTCTTCCCCTACCCTACCCCTAGTTCTGGGAATCCTCTTACCTCCTCCTCCCTATGAACTGGTCCAGTGGGTTTTCAAAATGCCCAGCCTCCCAAGAGTGAGATTTCTACCCCCTGCCATCTCGTAGAATATGGCTCCTCTGAGAGAAGAAAGAAAGGAATCCATTGGGATTTGAGTACTTAGGTTGCCAGGGAAGGATCTGTAGTCACTATTCAAGAATAGGGAAGAAGTTGTTTTGTTTTGCTTAAAAAAAAAAAGAGTAAACTGATAAGCAAAATATAGTTAAATATATGGCAGGGTTTAAAACCTGGAATTCCTCTGTAAAATTATCTGACTACTTAATAATACACAATCATAAACCTGCACTAAATCCTGTAGCTAGGGTTCAAATCCTGTCTCAACCACTCACTAGCTTTGACCAAGTTATCTAACTTCTCTACATTTTCTACCCCATTGGGCAAGATAGACAGGGATAAAAATAATTATCTGATTTGTGGTTGCAAAGGCGAGGACAAAGTGAGGTAATATTTATCCTAGCATCCAGTAAATGTTTGTATATGTTAACCATTACTTGTATTCTATGTGCCCAGGCATTGTGCTAGGTACTGGGGTTGTACATTCACAGAGACTATGGGCTCTAGACTGAGCAGAAAACATGTACGTAATTGCAACATAGTTTATTATGTAAGCTAAGGAAGGACAGTGTACTATGCAACCATATAGAAAGAGCATGTGAACAGATTTAAGGATCAGGGAAAGCCTCCTGACATAAACAATCTCTGAGGCCTGAAGGAGGTTTAAGATTTGTCTTAGATAATTTTACATAGGTCTGTGTTCCATTACCCGTTAATGCTGTCGCACAGTTACCAGTTAATATAAATGGAATCAGTGTTAAATAAATTCTTCCAAAATGCTCACTTAAATCCCTCATTTGTAAGACCAAGTGATTTCCTTGTTGGCAGTTTGCTATTCTAGAAAGAGGGCAAGTATGTGGAATGCTAAGTGTGCAGGCTCTGGCCGCAGACAACCTGGCTCTGGTCCTCTCTGTAAAGTAGGGATTACAATAGAACCTACCATATAGGGTTGTTTGAGGATTAAATATGTATATGAAGCATTTAGCACTGTACCTGGAAATTAGTAAGCAACCACAAAATTATTATTTTATGACCCCAGTTTCTTTGAGGCTTCTGTAATCTTTTTGCATAAAATCACTTACATGATTGTAATGTGGGTTTACATGTTATTGTCTTTTGGTCTAGATTGCAGGATTTCCTATCCAGATGCCATACACTAATGTACAGACAGTGATTGATGCCATGTATCAAACTGGAATCCACTCCTCGGAATTTCCCCAGACAGAATTTGCTCTCGCCGTATACATTCACCCATACCCAAACAACATATTATCTGTGTGGGTCTATTTGGCTTCTTTAACTCGGCGACAGTGAAAAGGAAGAAGGGAAAGGGAAAAGTTGTACCCTGGGCTCTCAGACCAGAAGCAGCCAGAACTTTTCTGGTACTTTGGGATTTTGCTACCTCTCTTCCAGTCCAGCCAAGTGTGAACCCACTTTTTGGTTCACTTAAAGAGCTGGGCACCATGGAAACTCACTCCCTGAGTCCTTGAGGATGAGTCTAGATGACCTCTTCACCAGACACCTCTTCAAGGAAGACCCTGTCGGAAGTCTGGTGGCCTTGGATTTTATCCTAGGGAAGAAGCAATTCTGGCCCCTTTCTGTAAAGTCCGTGTTTCTCAAATTGTGAGCCTCATATTACCTCCATCAAAATCATCTGGAGAGCCCTGTTGAAAATGCAAATTCCCAAACCCCGCTCAAGGCCTACTGAGTCAGAACTTCTGGGAGTGGAGCTCCAGAATCTACAGTATTTTAAACAACCTCCCCAGGTAATTCTGATGACCTGTTAAGGGTGGTCTGCCTTACAGAATGTTATAATAATGAAAGTGAGGCTGGTGTGTTTGATGCTGGATCTGATGCAATTCCAAGTAGAAGTTATTCAAATAGAAACCCCAAGGTCATTGTCTCAAAGAATGATTTCACTGGTGAAGAAAAATAGGAAAACCTGCTATGTTGGGTTGAGGGCTGACGTCAGCTTCTGGGGGCTTCTCAACTTAGGATGCTACTGATGTGAAGTCTTTTCATCTCCATATATGTGTAAGGGATTCCCAGGAAACTAATGTGCTTTCCTGATTCTATGAAAAAAGGGAGAAAGTGGTTGTACCAAATCTCAGGGCTCCCTTTTCCTTAGTGAACAGCTCCCCATTATGCATCTGACACATTTCCTGCCGCTTTCTTTTCCCAGGGGTGGCCCCAAGGAGCCCATGGAGATTCTAGGAGCCCCTGGAGAAAGAGTGGTCAGGGATCTAAGTAGGAAGCACTGTACTTTCCGGTAGTTTTTTATTGTTTTGTGTTTAATTGAGAAAGGGTATTTATACAGATTACTTAAATGTTCTCTAACAACTTGTTTAAAAATATCAAAGGATACAGATTTTCAAAGTTTGAGGAGAGTAGTTTTACATGAGGGTAGGGTAAGAGAAAATTCACCTCTTGAATTGCAGGAGCACTGGAGCTTCTTGGGACACTCCCACGAGCAGAGAGCAGGGACCCCCAAACTCATCCTCAGGGATCCTTCAATTTATATCCTCTTCATAATACACCTGCATAGGCTGGTGCTAGAAAAGACCTTGTTTATTGGCAGAGATATTAGTTTTAGACCAAACGAGATTAAAAAAAATGTAGGGGTATGGGTGAAAGAATGCCTTATACTCCAATGTTAAAACCTAACTATGCACAAGAAAACTGATTAAATTTTTTGTTTTTATTGGAACAGTTGTGTTTAAATTATATATGAAGTTTTGTTATTAACAAGTCTCTCACTTTGATTGGGTAGCACAAGATGGTACCTATGGAAAGACGAGGTTCCCAGAGAAATGCTGCATTCATGCAGTTCATTTCCGTGGCACTTAGAATGTTTATATAGCTATTTTATTAGTTGTTTATGGTTATAGAATTGATAGGCCACTTAAGAGTAAGGTAGAAAGTGTTCATAGACAAGCATAGAGGCCTTTTTCTGTGTTATATGCATTTTTAACCTGTGTACTGTACGTTTCTTAACTAAATTTTTTTCCTAAAAATTGTGTAATTGCAATGAGCCATTTTTCATTTAAAAAATAAATTTTAAATGTAACATATAATTTTAAAGTTCTTTAAATCATTCCACAAATAACTGTAGAGCATTTTTACGTACCACACACTCCAGAATGCAGTTGTGTATTATCATATCATGTATTATGTACTGTATATAATTGTCTATGCTATGTTTTTATACAACTGACAGTCCAGTAGGTTTGTTTACTCAAACATGTGAATAATGAGTTGCACTAGGAAATTATGACAGCTATGACATCACTAGATGATAGGAATTTTTCAGCTTCATTATAATATGGGACCACTGTAATATATGTGGTCCATCATTGACTGAAACGCCATTATGCAGCACATGACTGTATATGTATAAAGAGATTTTTATTATAAAGAACTGGCTACGAGATTATGGAAGCTAAGAAGTCCCAAGATCTTCAGTTGACAACGTGGAGACTCAGCCAATGGTATAATTTCTAGTCTGAAAGCTGGCAGTCTTAAAATTCACAAAGTGCTATTATATTAGTTTGAGTCTAAAGATCCAAAAAGACCTATGTTCCATCTCAAAGCAATCAGGCAGGAGGAGTTCCCTCTCACTCACAGAAGGATCAGCCTTTTTGTTGCATTCAGGCCTTCAACTTATTGAATGAGGACTACTCACATTAGGGAGGTGTGATATTGTGATAGAATAAATATATATTTGATCTTTGTCCCCAGTTCCTGACATGAGAATTGTCCCCACTTCCTGAATCAGGGTTCTAAAATCCTTGGAATGTTCTGAGTGATAGGTTTGAGAGGTGTTATCTACTGATATTCATAATAAGTCTCTTCAAGCACACCTGAGTTTATGCTAATAAGGTGACTCTTGGTGGACCCCTAGATAGCTTCAGGATGGGGGCTTCTCCATGTAGGCTCTGGACATTACCTTATACCACCTCCCTATTACCTTGGCAGAAAATTAGAGGGTTCTGCTTGGAGGAAATGACCTATCAAAGAGAAAAGATTTGGGGTGGGGGCCTCCCAACCTAGGGATTCCTGAGAATCCCTTGATTCTTACAGTGAATCCTGTCATTCAATAAGCCCTATTCGTGTACTCAGAGATTATAATCATCTTTTTAATGCCCCACTTGTAAATTTGAACTGACAGCCATGGATCACCACATATCTGAGGAAATCCTCTAATATAGGAATCAAACATAACAAAAAAAAAAACCCATGATGAAACAGACAATGAATGCAGAGAGAAGAAAAATTGACTTAAAAGAAAACTTTAATATCCTTACAATAACAGAAATATCTGTAACAAGAACAGAATGCTATATATAAAAAAATCTGGGACCATAAAAGAACTGTTGGAAAATAGTAGAAACTTTAAATCCAATTTTTAAAAATCCAGAAAATGTGTTTGTATTGAAAGTTGTGGAAATCTCCCCCAAAAGAGAACAAAGGACAAAGAAAGGAATAATAGGCAAACAAAAAGAAAAAAATTTAGATCAGCTTAGGACATCCAAGATATGAATCATATGAGTTCCAGAGAGTGTGAAATAAGAAAATGGGAGAGAGAAAATTATGAAATTCCAGATAATCTCCTGAACAGAATATGTAAGTCTCAGAATAAAAGGCCCCACTGAGTACCTAGAATTATGAATGAAAAATGACCCACACCAAAATACATATTGTAAAACCAGTCACCAAGAACATAGAGGAATCTAGACAGAATAGGTTTCAGGTTTCTTATAAAATAAGAATCAGCCCAGCTGCAGTGGCTCAGTGGTTGAGCATTGACCTATGAACCAGGGAGTCATGGTTTGATTCCCGGTCAGGGCATATGCCCAAGTTTTGGGCTCGATCCCCGGTCGTGCAGGAGCCAGCTGATCAATGAGTCTCTCTCCATCATTGATATTTCTCTCCCTCTCCCTTCCTCTCTGAAATCAATAATAATATATTAAAAATAAATAAGGATCAGAACAATATCTGAAGCAAATCCAAAAAACAGAAAAATTTCTGAACAAATATCTCCCAGTGAATAACATCTTCAAAATAGAAACCATGAAAAACAACCTATCTATTTACACAATGATTAGTCCGTGACCCATTTTCCTGAAAGGGTTCTTAAACCCTGGACATTTAAGTTATTGGGAAGCCAAATTATTGTTATAAAGTTGCATAGTGCACATGAATTGAAACCTGAGGAGGTGGGTACTCTTTAAATGCCATTATAAATAGCATGGAGCTTTCAGCCTGTGTCCATCTCATCTCTAGGGAAATCCTGCAACTGAGATAGGTGAGGGCAGCCTTTCCCTAGACAATGCTGGGCTAGGCTGCCAACTTCTGCTTCTGAGTTTCCCTTGTCTTGCCATTGGTTCCTACAGCCCTGCTCTTCTGCACGTAAGCATGGTCTCACATATCTGCTGCTGTCCTTCAAGTGTATGATGTCATTGTCAAGTTCGCGTAACATACATTCATCACTTTATGGTAGTTCTTTATTGTGTGACTTTTGGAACAAAAGATTCTAACTAAAAGGGGTAGGGTTCTATGGTTTATTTTTTTAATATTAAAAGAGATTAATTACATTTTCAGAAAGATGAGGATCACTGTCCTGGGTTGACTATCCACTTCTGTTGTGATATTTCACCAAGCAGGTTAAAATACAGTTGATTAGATGTCAGCTCATCACATTTTAGGTCCCCCATTGCCTTATTTTTTTAAAAAATATATTTTTTTGATTTCAAAGAGAGAGAGAGAGAGAAACATCAACAATGAGAGAGAATCATTGATCAGCTGCCTCCTGCATGCCCCACACTGGGGACCAAGCCGGCAACCTGGGCATGTGCCCTGACGGGGAATCTAACGGTGACTTCCTGGTTCATAACTCCACGCTCAACCACCGAGCTGTGCCAGCCGGGCCGCATTTCCTTAATTGACGTTGGAGTGTTTCCACACTTGGGTAGTTTCCTGATATAGGACCACAGGTGGTTAATGACATCCACTATGGGATTGACCAACTAGGTTACTAAAGGTAATCTTCTTTCAAAGCTTTTAGGAGTCTCTAAAGCAAAGGAAATAAGGAAGGGGAAGAGATTATTCAGGTTTCTAGGAGTAGGTTTTAAGATGGAATTTAAAAGCAGAGTTTGACAAGAGAAAACGCTTGAGGGACTTTCGAAATGACCAGAGCACATATGGAGGAACGGGTAATTGCACCAAGCAGCCACAGGATGTAAGGAACTGCTGTGAGAAGAGGCCTTCTGAATCCATGATGCAAGGGTTTGTTGGTGGTGGTGTTTTGGTTAATCCTCACCCGAGGATATTCCCTCCATTGATTTTGGAAA